AATTTCAGAAATGCTTGAAACTTCAATATTTCGAAATTGAAGGACGCTAATTTACTCAAAATTGATACACCCCGGCTTACCATCTAGCGGAAGGTTTCGGAAAGGTGAAAAAACATATATTTAATACTTGCGCCGGGTATTTAATGTTCGGCTCCGCCCGAACTTAGACTTTCTTACTTGTTTAAACTGAATAACGGTAAATAGCAAATATCTCGAAAACGTATCCATAGAAAAAAATTGCAATTTCAGGGGGCTGTGAAATTTTTCTTTCTAGGATTTTTCCTGCCGAATTTTTATATGTGTAAATTTGAATATGCACATGATTTTATTTGAAAACTTCTTAGGGTAATTACTATTTATAGCAAATCAACTCGATTAAAAAGCATCGCCATCACTAGGTGCATACAATTTTTTATTTAATATTCCAATAAAAGAAATTTAAAAGCATGTGTCGTTTACGATAATCGCTTATAATTTACAATGCACTTATCGATAAATTCGACAAAATCAGACACACAATCGTACGTACTCACATGTTTTGTTTTTAACATTATAAAAAGGGGTGAATAAAGAATTAATATAAAAGGTAATTTTTTCATTCACAAAAANAAAAAAAAAAAAAAAAAAAAAAAAAAAAAAAAAAAAAAAAAAAAAAAAAAATTGGAGGCGTCACAAACCAATACCAATGTACTTAAACACGAGTACATACATATTCATATATTTACCTTCAAGCCTTCATATTGCATGCACGTACATACATACTTACTTACAAATTTAGGCCCATTAACCGATTTATACCCCTTTGCGGTGCACACTTGCCATTCCGACGCAGCATTAGAACTGATAAGAGACTCGCTTACGAGCGGTATGGCCTAAAAGCCTTTTGCTAGACGATTTCTAACGGACCACTTCAATGCGGCGCAACGATAAAAGCCATGTTAACACTTTGTTCAATTGGTAGTCGTTACGGTAAACTCAAACGAATTTGGTCTCAAAAATAATAAAAAGCGCGACAACGACGACGACGAAGAAAAATACGTTCAAAGAAATTTTGCGCGAATTTAATAAATTTAAGAATTTACGCTAACTTAACTAAAAACACAAAATAAATAATCAACAACAAAAAAGACCGCTGCCAAAAGGATAATTATACGCTGTTTGGAGAGATTAAAAAAGAAAAAAAAAAAAACAAATAAAAATATATAAAAAGCGCTTTCATATTACATACGCTGCTTTCAAAATGAGGTTCCTCGCAGTGTTTTTACTTGCCGTTGCTATTGCGGGCAGCTCGCTTGCAGGTGAGCACTCTGTAAACGCTAAATCAGTTAATTTCAATTAGAAAAAAATAATGTTTGTTAATTGATAGTGAAAAATATACATAGAACAAAAACATATATACTGCCGGCAAAAAGTATTGGCACAGCTGCTTTTTTACAATATACGCAACAATTTTTTTGTCCGAAATTTTTTTATAAAAATATGGTCCATTCCATAACAAACAACATGAAAATATACTTTGTGCAAAACTCGCGAAAATTCAGCAAATTTTCAACTTTTTAATCAGATTTTTAGAATTTTTTTGAGTATGAAGATTTGAAGCCCAATCAATTTTATTGCAATAAAGTAGAAGTTCTAAGTAGCTACGAATTACCGTTGATTTTTGGCAATTTTTTTCACGCAGCCTCTTCCATACAAAAAAAAAATCGAAAATACTTTACATAGAAAAAATTCAAAACACCTTCAACAAAAAAGTTCTTTAAAAATCAATGCGATTTTTGATTTACTCCGAACTTGCATTTGTTATACTAGAATTTAATGGGCTACAAAACTGCTTATCTACTCAAGAAAAAAAAGTTGAAAATTTGCATGAAAATTTATTGAATTTTCGCGAGTTTTGCACAAAGTTTTGTTTTTTTTGTTGTAGAATGAACCATATTTTTATAAAAAATTCGCGGAAAAATATTAGAATAGAAATTGGTGCATATACATACATACATATTGTGCAAAATTCGATGTGCCAATACTTTTTCCGGCAGTGTATGTAATATGGTGCTCATGATTTACGAAAATATTTTAATTCAAAAATTGTTGTCAAAAAAGTTTCGAAAATTAAAAAAATTAAAGTTTTTCGTTTTACCTCACGGCATATGAAAAAAACAAGGTCTGCCATGTGAAATACAAAAAAAAAAATAAAAATAAAACTCTAAAATTAAAAATTGTTGCGACTATCTTTCTTGGTATTTTTAATTTTTTTTTGGTTCCAGAAGCATCGATCCACCCCTTGCAAAGCCCAGTAATCAGCATTTGTACTGCTGACTAGGCGAACGTTCCAAAAACTAGTTTTCAAACGCTTCTTTTATATGAAATAAGGTTTCAAAATGATTTTGATACTTTACAACTTTTGTAAACGAAATTAAAAGTGTTTGACATGTAAGAGAAGAAATATTAAAAAATAATAATAATAATCAAATCAGCTGCAATATTGCTACCCGTTAAATATGCTTTGTTTTAACTTAAGGGCTGTATGCAGTTCTCAAGAAAAATTATACGAAATACATAATTCTCACTATTTCTGTTGTTTAAAAAATACTTTGTTGTAAATTTTCTTGAAGAAATAAATTTACGAGCAGTTTTTCTTGAGAACAGCATACTGAGTTAAGAAATTTTTATAAAAAAAAAATTCTTTTTTATTTCTTGTGCGCCATTTTATATGGATTTTTCGGTTTTCTTGAGACCTGCAGACAGCCCTTTAAAGTGAAAAGCATTTTCAAAAATATATTTTGGTCAAAACTACAAAAATTTAAGAAACAATTTTTCAAAAATTATAAAATTAACATTCAAAACTTTTCAAGGTAATGCAACAAAAAATATTTTTGATTGAGACTAAAAAATTATCAAAAACTTCTAAAAAATATTTTATTCGCAATTTTCGAAAATTGTTTAAAAAAATGTCAAAAGATAATATTGAAAGTTAAATAGAAAAAAAATAGGAAACCTCTTTTTTAATTGTAAGTGAAATAAATTTTAAGAAATTTAAAAAAGTGCTGTTCGAAATTTTTGCAGAAAAGGAATCATTTTCGTAATATGTATTTCTAAAATTGTGGAAGGGTTTTAAGAAAAAAGTCTTTTTATAGAAAGTGGAACTAATGCCAAAAAAATAAAAAATAAAACATAAAAATTTTAGCAATTTTTAAAAGAATTTTAAGAGAAAATATTTTCATATTAATCTTAAAATCTTTAAAAATATCTTTTTGCCGATTTTTTGGAAAAAAAAATTTTTGAGAATAAAACAGTTTTCATAATAATTTCAAAATTTTAGACATGTTTTGGACTTGTGGCCTTAAATTTGTTTATACATTTGTACAGTCTTTTTAAGGAACTATAGCTTTGCATATAAGAAGAAAAACTTTTCGTTAGTTGGCTGGGGCCCCAGACGTCCAGACGTAATTGGAAGGCTTTGACCCTTGCATCACTTCTACCCTTGGTTTTAGAAAAGGGCTTCGTGGCGCCAGAGGTCTGTCTGGCTGATCGGATTTAGACAATGCCACACCAGTACGCGCCATACTATGACTCAAAGAGGCATTGGGGCATACATTGGTGGGTGTCACCGCAGTGTCCCTTCCTTTGCAACCATCGCCAGTAGATTTGGATGCCGGTGCATCCACCAAGGTCCCAATGGCTTCTGGAATAATCTCCATAGACCAGGGCCGCTTACTGCATTCAGCAACAGGAGAAGTTCGGTTAGCCACAGAACAGGGTTTGCCCTGATTGCGTTTCGCTCTCCGATCCTTCGGCCTTCTCCTTCTCTTCTGGGTTTGTGAAAGAGAACCAACTTCGTCATTGGAGGATCGTTGGCAGCGAGCACACTTTGTTGTGAAGAACTCCCTCCGCTTTATATTAGTGTATTGATTCATTGATATTGGGCCAGGTTAAGTCCTTTAATTGAGATATACGTCAAGTAAGTTTTTTTTTTTAGGGTAGAAGTGACTTTCTCTAACTAGTTTTTGTAGAAATACAGCTCCTGAGCCCTTCAGTTTCTTGGCGCTCAAATGATTTTCAAACATTTTGAAAAGTTTTAAAAGCCCCGGTTTTAGAACAGTACTTGCCTTCCGCAAGGGTACTTCACCAATAAAATCTGATTTTAAAATCTTTGACTGCCATATCCCCTTGTTGGAGCAAGATGTTCAGTGGGACCAGAACACACTGCGCAATCAGCGCCATCAGCGTTTCCAATTGACTTTGGTTCATTCACAATTATATTTCTGGTTCGTTGCAGCGTTTGCTGCAGCTAATATCTTTCGAAGTCTCAGAAGTCTTTTTAAGCGAGAGACAAATGTTCTACCAAGAACCTCTTTTGGCTACCTTTATTTTTGTTTTACTTCACTGCTGTGAATCCTCTCCAACATGCTTCAGAAACATTCTTCACATTTCGCCTGAATTGGTTACTCATATTAAAAGCATCGGACATATTCATATTAACTAAAATTTTCCCTAATTTATATGTATGTACCTATTTATAAAAATAAATATACATATTTAGGTATGCATGTATGTTTGTGTGTAAGTCCGCAAATGTGCACATGACAATTATCGAAATTTTACAAATTGATATTTTGTCTTATCTTTGATATCAATCTATTATCAGTCGAATCCAAACATGGGAATATTACACACATAAACATATGTACTTCTATGAACTATACGATGGTTTCGCATTTTCAAAATGTTCATAATGAAGAAAAACTAGATGAATTCATATCTTTAAAAAATTATCCAAGGTTCGCAAGAACACCATATACTTGACATTGACAATTTTCGGCATACTCGACATTTGTTAAGAGTTGTCGAATTAGTAGGCCGTCGCACTAACTCAAACCAGCTAGTCTAGACTAGTCGGTGCCTACCATACGTGCATTAAACGACTCATTTATAAACATAAATGGTTAGGTTGGGAATTAAACATTAGTCTCATATTTTTTTATTCATTTTGTCGGGACCAGTACATGACTTCTTCAAAACCACTTCGGAAATAGTTCAAGACTTTCGTTTTGAAAAAGTCGTGAACTTGTTCCGTGAGGATATCGAACTAGTTTTGAAATGGTCCCTAACTAATCACGAATTTTCCTGAAATAGTTCCGAACTAGTCCCGAAATGCTCCCGAAATATTCGTGAACTGTCCATAAATGATCCTTAACTAGGCCCAAAATGAACCCGATCCGGAAATAGTCCTGAACAAGCCCGAAACGGTTAAAAAAATATCTCAGAAAAGGTCTTCAAACAGTCACCAAATTATCCCTTATTAGTGCCAAAAGGATCCCTACTATTTCGTACTACATATCTATTATAAAGTGTATGATTTCGTTCTTCAGCTCTGAATTCATCTCGGTCTCATTGGCGTAGACCATACTTCACTCGTGGGCTCAGAGAAAGAGGTCCAATGGGGTCAAATCGCAAGACCTTGACGACCATTCGACCTCGTTGTTTCGTGAGATAATGCATCCTAGGAACTTCGTTCGCAATATGGTCACTCTTTCATGCGCTGTGTGGCAAGTGGTGTCGTCTTGTTCAAACACATATAACGTTCGCCGTTCAACGCAATAGCGTTACCGGCCTGGTCCACATTTTGTTTCACAGCAGCAATATTTTCGGCCGAAAGCAATCTTCGTTGAGTTCCAGTTTTTTCCGGCTCAAGCAGTCGTAATATTCTCCAGAGTGCATAGTTTTAGAGACAAGGCAATCGTAGGGCGTATTTTGGAAATGTATTCCAATCATCTTCTCATATATATTAAATAATGAAATCCCAGGCGGGCTTGGTGAGAACATTATATCAAATATTTGAGGACGACAAGTAAGTCATAAGGGCCTCGGATCATCTTTGCTTCTAGGAGAGTACACTCGTTTTTGTGCCACCAGTATTAGAGGCAGAAATGTAAAGACTCATAGCTTGGACTTGGTTTGTTGCACTCTATTACTTCAATGTATCGAAAAAAGCTTCTGATGTATTTTCCCTTGCGGGTGGTCAACCCCAAAACCAAAAAGAATATTTAACCACCCCAAAATATATTACTCATTATCTATTTGAAACTTTTTCACAGACAACACAACGGATGCCCCTGCGACCGTCTCTTCTATTGGCGAGACAACAGAGAGCCCAACTGTTCCCACAGATAGTGCGGCGACCACAACTATTTCTACAGGTAGTGAGACCACTGATAGTACAAATGTACCTTCTAGTGGCGAGACTACACAGGTCACAACAGCCGCTCCTAGCATTAGAACTACAGAGGGCACAACTGTGTCATCCGGTGGCGACACAACTGAGGTCTCAACTTCAGGTGGTGAGACCACTGAAGGTACCAGCTCAGGTAGTGAGCCAACAGCATCTCCCGGCAGCGGAACAACACAGAGCTCAGCTGCGCCTCCAGGTGGTGAGATAACTGATAGTACAACTGTCTCTCCTAGTAGCGAAACAACAGAGAGCGCAACGACCTCTACTGATACTGAGACAACTGATAGTACTACTGACTCTCCTGGAAGTGAGACAACTGATAGTACAACTGGCTCTCCTAGCAGCGAAACAACAGAGAGTTCAACTGCGCCTCCGGGTGGTGAGATAACTGATAGTACAACTGTCTCTCTTAGTAGCGAAACAACAGAGAGCGCAACGACCTCTACTGATACTGAGACAACTGATAGTACTACTGACTCTCCTGGAAGTGAGACAACTGATAGTACAACTGGCTCTCCTAGCAGCGAAACAACAGAGAGCTCTACTGCGCCTCCGGGTGGTGAGATAACTGATAGTACAACTGTCTCTCCTAGTAGCGAAACAACAGAGAGCGCAACGACCTCTCCTGGTACTGAAGCAACTGATAGTACAACTGCCCCTCCTGGAAGTGAGATAACTGATAGTACAACTGTCTCTCTTAGTAGCGAAACAACAGAGAGCGCAATGACTTCTACTGATACTGAGACAACTGATAGTACTACTGACTCAGCTGGAAGTGAGACAACTGATAGTTCAACTGACTCTCCTAGCAACGGAACAACAGAGAGTTCAACTGCGCCTCCGGGTGGTGAGATAACTGATAGTACAACTGTCTCTCTTAGTAGCGAAACAACAGAGAGCGCAATGACTTCTACTGATACTGAGACAACTGATAGTACAACTGACTCTCCTAGCAGCGGAACAACAGAGAGTTCAACTGCGCTTCCGGGTGGTGAGATTACTGATAGTACAACTGTCTCTCCTAGTAGCGAAACAACAGAGAGCGCAACGACCTCTCCTGATACTGAGACAACTGATAGTACTACTGACTCAGCTGGAAGTGAGACAACTGATAGTACAACTGACTCTCCTAGCAGCGGAACAACAGAGAGTTCAACTGCGCCTCCGGGTGGTGAGATTACTGATAGTACAACTGTCTCTCCTAGTAGCGAAACAACAGAGAGCGCAACGACCTCTCCTGATACTGAGACAACTGATAGTACAACTGACTCTCCTAGCAGCGGAACAACAGAGAGTTCAACTGCCCCTCCGGGTGGTGAGATAACTGATAGTACAACTGTCTCTCCTAGTAGCGAAACAACAGAGAGCGCAACGACCTCTCCTGATACTGAGACAACTGATAGTACAACTGACTCTCCTAGCAGCGGAACAACAGAGAGTTCAACTGCCCCTCCGGGTGGTGAGATTACTGATAGTACAACTGTCTCTCCTAGTAGCGAAACAACAGAGAGCGCAACGACCTCTCCTGATACTGAGACAACTGATAGTACAACTGACTCTCCTAGCAGCGGAACAACAGAGAGTTCAACTGCCCCTCCGGGTGGTGAGATTACTGATAGTACAACTGTCTCTCCTAGTAGCGAAACAACAGAGAGCGCAACGACCTCTCCTGATACTGAGACAACTGATAGTACAACTGACTCTCCTAGCAGCGGAACAACAGAGAGTTCAACTGCCCCTCCGGGTGGTGAGATTACTGATAGTACAACTGTCTCTCCTAGTAGCGAAACAACAGAGAGCGCAACGACCTCTCCTGATACTGAGACAACTGATAGTACTACAGACTCCCCTGAAAATGAGACAACTGATAGTACAACTGCCTCTCCAGGTAGTGAGACGACTGAAAGCATAACCACATCTCCTAGCAGCGAAACAACAGAGAGCGCAACGACCTCTCCTGGTAGTGAGACAACTTCTAGTACAACCGCCTCGCATAGTAGCGAAACGACAGAGAGCACAACCACATCTCCTGGCAGCGAAACAACAGATAGACCAACGGCTTCTCCCAGCAGCGGAACAACAGAGAACACAACAATTTCACCTGCTGAAGATACAACAGTTAGTGCCAATGGGGAGTCAACGCCCAGTGCCAACTCGACAGGGAGTCCTTCTACGGTCAAGCCTACAGGTAACTAAATTTTCATTCGTCCGCAGCATTACCCAATAAAGTCACAGTTGGCGTAGTTAACGGCATTGAGAAGTTATCAATTGTTAGTGGCCTTATTTTTTCGCAAACTTCACATCATCTTATTTTCGCATTTTGTATAAAAAGTTGTCTTTGCTGATAGCTCTTCGACTCTCATTGCGCTATGGTCAATCAACTTACAAATCTTTGCCATCAGAAGTATAGTAGATACAAATGGAATAATTTGGGAAATTAATGATAATTTTTACTCTATTCAAAACAGCAAAACCCCTACTATGTTATACCTGCGATGGAGACGACTGTAATGAAAAGTCAATAATCAACTGTCCAGACGATGGACAAACATACACTATTGAGGAAGTACTGAAAGCTATGCAGGCGAGCGCCTCGGGTCTGCTGATTCGTAATTACCGATCTACTTCGCGAATCGAGCAGGCTGAGGTGAAGGATTATGCCTGCTATAGCGCGCAGATTACAGGTGAGTTCGTCTAACGTTTAGTACTTTTTCGTTTCTTTAAACGCTGTTTATTTTCTTTTTTTCGTAGATAATGATGAAGAGAAACTTCAACTTGGCTGCATAGCTATACTTGAGGGACAAAGCGCATGCGATTCGGTGCGGCAAGATCTGGACATTGACGCGAACGATACCGATTTTTGGTGTTTAGCATGTCAGAGAGATTTGTGTAATGGCAGTGGACTGTCGCAGATCTCCGCAGTGGCGCTTTTGTGTGTTATGCTAGCGAGGCTATTTATTTAAATTAGAGTAAAGAAACAACATTATTTATTTGAATAAATTTAAAGATAATTTAGTTTTGTACATATTTGAAGAATACTAAATCGGCATTTTCAGTATTTATTTCGAAAATTAGAAAATAAAATAAGAAGAATACCCAACTATCCATAAAAGTCTCGGAAAAATACCATCTCTCCCGAAAAAACCCGAAAAAGTTCCAAAAAGCAAAACACAAAAGCCTGAATGGCTTCGTAGAAAGTTCGAGAAAATCTTGAGTTGTATCGAAAACCTTAAACAATCACTACCTAAAAATGAAAATCAAAAAGTACCGCTAATTTTATCTTCAAACAAATATCAATCAAACTGTAAATATAAAAAAAGTAACTTTAGTTTGCAGTCTATGAACCTAAAAAGCAAACGGGTCACCTAAAGATTAGCAGTGCAGCTGAGAAGAAAGTACGGAGATGATTTGACCTTTTCGTCCGCAAAACAGCTGTGAGAATAGTCGAACCGCATGAGTTTATATTGCTAACTTGACCCGTCAAGAGTCCTGTCATCCGTCAAGAGTCGGCCCATCACCGGCTAGTAGGACGTCAGAAACTTGCGTGTCGGTGTTTTCGCCCAGCAACTAAAAGCTCATCTGCCCTATAAATAGGACACAGATTGTCACAGGAACTCCTGTACTCCCTCTGGCAGAGATAACCGTTTTCCTTAAGGCAAATCCCAAAATGCTACCAAGGACACCAAGTATTTTTTATATGCGGTCAAATCAGTCCCTCTAAAGTCTTGAATAGGGAAGACGAGATTCTGATTTGTCTGAAATCTTTTCGAGAAACATGAAAGGTTGTCTTTGTCTTGGGAATAAACGTCCACCTTACAATCGCGAATGGAGTAGTTCAGATACTCAACGACCTCTGAAGCTACTCAGTTTAACATATTTACAGCAGTAATAGAAACAAAAGGAAAGGAAAGGCTGCCAAAAGAGGCCTGCTATCATCCAAGTAGAGCTACGGCACCGCCAAGCTCTCTTACGACAGAAAAGGCCGGCAATAAAGGCACAAATTAAATGCATACCTACCCACCAACCGTAGCACCATGGAACTGAACCAAAGTTCACAAAATATAGGATCTTTACTTTACTTTACTTTACAGATGCTGCAAAGCCGAAAGTACTGAAGAATACCCTCGGCTCGTTGCAACTGAGCCCATCCCGCATTGACAAAAGTAATGCTACAACTGAAAGAGAACAACCCAAATACCAGCTCATCAAGTAGAGATGTTGGCTGGTTACGACCAGTAAAATAACCACCAAATAGTCTAACAAAGATTTATTCTAAAAGTTGCTGAAGCCCGAGATATCCAAATACTACCCAGGGCGAGAGTTGGTTGCGGTTCACGCCATTTGCGGAATTGTCGATTCAAATCATGTTAAAGATATCCGTCCCTACGCAAAACCGAAAATTTAAGAGGTACTTTTGGAGAAAAAATGTTTCCTTTTTGTTTGTTCCTTTTGAAAATTTGATTAGAAGATGAAGATGAAGATGAAGATGAAAGTGAAGATGAAGATGAAGATGAAGATGAAGATGAAGATGAAGATGAAGATGAAGATGAAGATGAAGATGAAGATGAAGATGAAGATGAAGATGAAG